TTGCCCTGTACGATGACCTGCTGAGGGAGGCTGACGGGGTAAAATGTCTCTGTTGGTCCTCCTCGACATCTCGGCGGCCTTCGATACTGTTGACCATGGTATCCTCCTGGGGAGGCTTTCTGAGTTGGGAATTGGTGGCCTGGCGCTTGCCTGGCTCTGTTCCTTCTTGGGGGACCGTCCCCTGAGAGTACAGCTTGGGGATAGTGTTTCAGCCCCGTGAAATCTCAATTGTGGGGTTCCACAGGGGTCGATTATCTCCCCAATGCTGTTTAATATCTATATGAGGCCCGCTGGGTGGGGTCATCAGGGAATGTGGGGCATCATGTCATCAGTATGCTGATGACACCCAGCTCTACATCTCTTTTTCAACAACTGCAGGAGATACCGTTCTGTCCCTTCAGCGCTGGCTGGAGGCTGCACTGCAATGGATGCAGGAAAATGGGCTGAGGCTGAACCCGGAAAAGACGAAGGTTCTGAGGATGGGCGCCCCTACTGTAGGTGGTTTGGGAAACTCTCTCTCATTTGGGGGGGTAACCCTTACCCCTAAGAGTGGGGTTCGCAGCTTGGGGATCCATCTGGACCCGGTGCTCACCATGGAAACTCAGGTGGCGTCGGTGGTCCGTACCGCCTTCTTTCGTCTCCGGCGGATAGCCCAGCTGCGACCCTATCTCGATGTCGGGGCACTCACTACCTTGGTACATGCGCTCGTAATCTCAAGATTAGACCACTGTAATGTGCTCTATGTGGGGCTACCTTTGAAGCTGATGCAGAATGCGGTGGCCAGACTCCTTAGTGGAGTGAGAAAATACCATCATATTTCTCCTATTCTGGCCACACTGCATTGGCTGCCAATTCGGTTCTGCATCGACTTCAAAGTATTGATGCTTACGTATAAAGCCCTAAACGGTTTAGGGCCTTGATATTTGACGGAACGCCTTCTCCCACCAAGATCTACCCGTATCACTCGATTGAGTCAGGAGGTGAGGTTGAGCAGCCTGATGCTGAGGGAGGCCCGGAAGGAAAAAACAAGAAACCGGGCCTTCTCGGCAGTGGCTCCTCCCCTCTGGAACAACCTCCCTCCAGAGATTCGTGCGGCCACATCACTGGGCATTTTAAAGAACCAATTAAAAACTTAGATGTTTAATTTGTTACATTTGTTACATTTATTTGTTTGGAAGCCACCTAAAGTGGACGTAAGACCAGATAGGTGGGGTATAAATAAAATAAATAAAATAAAATAAATAAAAAGGTAGTATTTAAACTAAAACAATGAGCATAGGATACTAAAAAGATCAATGAATACAATACCAATAAAATAAACAATATCAAAACACATTCAATCCATTTTAAAAAAAACACCACTTGGCAGGCATTCACTCAGGGAATGCTAGTCTGAAGAGAAGGGTCTTTGTCTGCTTGAGGAAAGACAGTAAAGATGGGGCCAGTCTGGCCTCCTGTGGGAGAGAGCTCCAGAGTCTGGGAGCAGCAACAGAAAAAGCCCTCTCCCATGTTCCCGCGAAACACACCTGTGAAGGTAATGGGGCTGAGAGAAAAGCTTCTCCTGATGATCTTAACTAGTCTTGACACTTGAGCAGGCTCATGAAGGGAAATGTGTCTCTGGTGCTTGAAGCCATGACAATCATGAAAATGTGCCATCATATAAAGTCATGCAGATTTAATGTATTCGCGAAGGCTTTCACGGCCAGGATCTAATGGTTGTTGTGGGTTTTTCGGGCTTCTTGGCTGTGTTCTGAAGGTGGTTTATCCTAACGTTTCGCCAGTCTCTGTGGCCGGCATCTTCAGAAATCCACAAGTTAGGTATGAAGGCAACAGCCATACTATGCTACCACACCTCAGCAAGTACAATTCATTGTCTCAGTCCCACAAGTGTACCCTCTGAAGATGCCGGCCACAGAGACTGGCGAAACGTTAGGAAAAACCACCTTCAGAACACGGCCAAGAAGCCCGAAAAACCCACAACAATCATGCAGATTTCTCAGTAGAGAATCTGATTTTATTATGCCAGTTTCTCCATTTCCATTAAAATTTATCTATTTCCATGACAAATGATACAAGTACAGTGGTGCCTCGCATAGCGAGGTTAATCCGTTCTGGATTAACCCTCGCTATGTGAAAGCATCGCTGTATGGAATGGGGAAAGCCATTGGAACGCATTAAACTTAGTTTAATGCGTTCCAATAGGCTCCAAAACTCACCGTTCAGCGAAGTTTTCCCATAGCCGGCAGCCATTTTCGCACCCTCGGTAAGCGAGGGGAGGGGGCGAAAAAGCTGCGCGTGGCCATTTCAGGGCTTCCGGCGGCCATTTTGGAGCCGCTGAACAGCTGATCGTCAGGTGTCGCAAAGCGAAGATCTGTAAGCGAAACGCTTACTGATCTTCGCTATGTGAGTTTCGCCCATAGGGGCCATCGGTATGCGATCGCATTTGCGATCGCAAAACCCTAATCACTATGCGATTTCATCGTTATTCGGTGCGCTCGTTAAACGAGGCACCACTGTACTTCAATGTTTGCATACTCACAAAGAGTGGGTACTACATCACAATATTTGAAGATAAGTGGTTAGGGTATGCAAGTTTTCATCTGCACACTTATCACGCATGTCCTGCTTCCTTGCCCTCGTACCATGGCTCTCTATCCTTATGTGTCAACAGCTCCTCAACATTCTCATGCATATACACAGATTTCCAATTGGAGGCATGTACTTGGATTCTGGTCTATTGACACTGAAGCAAGAAGGGCTCAAGGTTAATTCCTTATCAATAATCTATTGTCAGCTCATTAATCAAAGTGAGAGGTCAGAAGCAACTGCAATGTGCAAATAATAGAGAAATGGCCTTAGTTTTACCACCACACCCTAGAACCCATTTTAGACAAATAACACTAAAATGCCCTCCTCTATATACAGTTCGCAATTTGGTTTGAACACTTTAGACTTTCTCATCCTAGCAAAAAGTACCTACAGATATATTAAAATTAAACCTGAAATTAGTGTTCATATTAATACAAATCCTAAGAAGGCTGGGAAGCAGAAGATACAAAATTGCTACTTAAGCTTCAAGATCATGTTTGAAGATCCACTGCAGAGAAAATGTTCCTGGGCTAGTAACTGAATCTCAGTCTCATGTTTCCACTCATAAAATACAGGCTATTCACCTGCTCACAAGATTGCTATGGGGACGGGGTGGGGGAGAGAAACTGCACTATAGATAGCTCACTATATAAATTATTTTCCACCCACTCATTATTTTATTTTGTAGAACACTATTCTGGGTTGATACCACAGAAGAGAATGGACTAGTTCTTTGTGAATGACAAATCTATCCTTAAGCAACATTGTTCCTCAGTATCATCAACCTTTATATATGCCCTTTGTACCCCACACATCACAACCGTGTTAATTCTCTTCAAGATGCATGTTCTAAGTAGCCTTGAAACATGAAGAAACTACTTCCTCTGCTATGTCTGGTGAAACAGAATAATGTCTTATAGAAGTCCCGCTACCAGACCAAAGGTCCATCCATTTCGATATCTTCTTTCCCAGAGGTCCAAACAGATGCCTCTGCAAAATCCACAAGTTAGGTATGAAGGCAACAGCCATACTATGCTACCACTCCTCAGCAAGTACAATTCATTGTCTCAGTTCCACAAGTGTACCCTCTTCAAAAATTCTTAATTTCTATCTGATGTATTTTTGCACTTCTACATTGAATTCCAACACAAATCTGTTGTGGAATTATAGATGGTAACGAAATGTAATATAATCAGATAGCACCATATAAATACTACACATTGCAGCATTTTAGCATCAGCTGCACAATACAATTTGTTTACGTAGCCATGTTGCCTCCTAGAGTTTGTTTTCAAATTAAGACAAAGATGTTGCATTTAACACAAATCATTTCCTGAATCACACATGCACTGACATTAAAAGGTAACACCAACCAATGAGATAAATCTGTTCAAAAGCTGACATTTAATTTCCACATATATCTGGTCCTTCCAACATTCCTCATTGCCAGACATAAAATATCAGGTAGAAAGACTGTAGATATGAACTTCTGACACATGTTGCTTTCTTAAGTGTATGTCAACTCTGTGTCTACACTGCTAATAGATAAGCACTGTGGCTTTATGCACCTTGGGAATCATAACTTCTATATTATCTATGCTTCCAACATGCACCAGATTTTAAAGAGAGCAGATGTCCAGCTGTGAAAAATCTACGCAATGGTTAGATAGGCTTGCCTGCCATAAAAAAACTTCATAGTGATTTAATCTAAGCACCGTCAATTGCTGTCCTCCAGAAGTCACTGCTGCAGTTCCCATAATCCCTCAGTGCTGTCCAGAACCAATGGGAACTGCAAAATCTGAAGGTACTTTGGTGAAACTATTTAAATAAATCCTTTGTCTCTTGTTATTTTGATTTAGACCACCAGAGAGCAGCGAGTATTTCAACACAAAGGAAGAGCTTCACTGTATATTCTGATAAAATTAGTTTCTCTAACAAAGAAGAATATAATTTAAAAGGTTTTATGAAGGCTCCTGGTACCAGATCTACAGCTAAAGTAATCAAGGGAACATTTAATTTAGTGGTGCCAAACTTCTTAGTTCTTTTGCAGCTGCTTTAATTTCACTTGACTTACTCAAATTTTAAGGTTTTGGATTACCTATTCTTCTGAAAGATAATAGTTTTTCACTATCTCATAACACTTTAGTACAGCAAACAAACACCCCATCTAGACCCATCTAAATGTATGAGATATAACTCCTAGCCAATAATTTCAGCAAATCTAAAGCAACAACAAATCCCTCTCCCCCCAGTTAATTATTTCTACTGTAGAATTAAACTAGGAAGAAAATACCCTGAATGACTAAATCAGAGAAACAAAGCCAAAGACTTGAGTGTAAAGATATACAGTGCTATAAAATGCAAGATAAAAAACTGCAAAGCTTAGAAGGAGACAGACACATAAAGAAATATGAGTTAGACCACTATTTTAATGCACATTAAATCAGCAAAAAGAACTTGGCCAGTGCTCCAGACCATGCAATAGGCGCATGATAATCCCAAACTGACAAATGTTAATTACTTACTATGTAACACTGTATCAATATAAATGGGATAACAAAGGAATGTTTTTTCTGCTCTGCATTTTTCACATTTCATACTTTTTGGCACAGATTCTGTTCTGTGCGTCAAGGTCTAAGTAGTAGACAGTCACCTCCCTCCACCAATACAAAAGGGAGACCATGTTTGAACCATGGCCTGTCCCTCGTGTGTCTACAGGTGCAAAATTCAGTTTCAGATTAATAAGGACTCTGTGTTATTTTGTGTATGCAATGTGAAATACACCTCCAGAAAAGAGATATGGAACTGTCTTCAGAATATTACTTACTGAGATTCTATGTTTCATTCTGTAGCCTGGTTCATCATATGGTGCCATTTGGACTGCTTTAAGTCCCCAAGAGGTCTCCACCTACCCGCAATTAAAAAGTCACTGCTCACAAAGAAAGCTTGAGAAGAAAAAGCAACCCTTGAGTCAGCAGAAGATCAACTAACTGCTGGGAAGACTACAGCAAGGAATAGCTTCTGTTTCGGCATCACAAATAAACAATACTGCAAAGAGACAGACAATACAGAAATATAGCAAAGGAAGGCGCTCAAAGTAGCATTGGCAGGCCTGGCTGCACAGATGGTGTGACCCCATATAAAATATACGTATCAAACTGACAAAAAAGACAAGTAAGCTCAAGAGCTTCTTGTTATTAAAATGCCAGAAACTTAACAGAAAGTTGAATAAAACTTCCTGTGCTCGGCACAGTTATCGCCTTGGGCATATCTTCAGTGTTTGGTACAGTCAGCTCTTTGCCACTCATGACAAGAAACAATGCAATATACAAAATAAAGAGATATATGCAGATGTGCATATTTCTGCAAGTCTCAGAACTTAGATTATCTTTACACAGGTGTGCAAGCACTCACAACCCAGTGCAGAGCACCTTCCTAAGCATGTTTCCAAAACCTACAGAAAGGAATACATCATAAAACACATCAGTTTGGGTTTCCTCACATTTATTCTGCAGCCCTACTCCATGCTGCTCAGCAAAGGGAAAAATTCAGATATTTAGTTTCTAAGAAATATGCTGACTTCCATGAGTGAAGGGCAAAAATTCTGTCAAGAGCAATTGTGAATGCTTTAAGATTAAATTGGTGAGTAGAAGAGAAAGTCTATGTTGATGCATTTGCATCACTCACTCTAGTAAACCTAAGTGTTTCCAATGCAACTGTACAAGAATGAAGTGCAATGTGTCATATATGAGGTTGGATACGCCCGCAGATGGCTGACATGATCAGAGTCCATGAAATCCACAGCCTTAACAAGGACCTGACGCTGTCGCCGAGCCTCTATCATGTTCTCCACATCGTTTGCTCTAGTGACAGGATCAGCCTTGGAGTAGAGGTAGAGCTCGGGCCACCCAGAGGGGTGCTTCAACATGGCATCATAGTGAGTCTCATGTACAAAGCGTGTCAGAGGATACAGCATGACTCGCAATGACACTACCATGACCGCAAATGTCAACAGAAGAAGATACTTAACAAAGACACTATAAGGTGCCAAGACAACAGAGAGTGCACGGAGGCCACCCTTCAGGTTCTTCTGGCCAGGAGCACTGTCAAACACAGTACCCACCACCTTCAGATGCTGGAACTGCTGATCAGTGTGAAGGAGTTCCACAATGTAGCGGTAGAGCATGGAACCTCCATTGCTGAAGACATGAATAAACAGAGGTCTCCTCTCCAGTTTGTAATCAAAGAGGACTTCCAGAAGCTTCTTAGCTAAGTCCTGCAGAGACTTTATACCCAAGGATTCTGAAAAAAACACCAGTCTCCATGGAGCCGTATAGCGGATCACTACACATCCCTGTGAGGAATACATAAATTTTAGTGCACACTTATAACCACAAGCAACTGGCAAAATGTAACAATAGGACAAATACATTAAGCATTCACAAGAACTGCTGATCACAGTACTTTTCATTCAAGGAAGTGGTAAAGCTTTAGAAGCAATAATTGTGGAATAGATTAGTAAGGTTTGCTATATTCTAAAAAGAAGAACTGAATTTTTCTAGGCTCTAGCTAGCAGCCTGAAACAGATCCTTCCTCAAGTGTTGCTTCCACATATATTTAAATAAAATATGAAATATAAATTGGCAAAAGAATGTACAAAGCCATCTCTGTGAGCATATCATGTACTGTTAATCGTGTCCTGTGTGACTCCTCCTTTCCTTCATTCTGATTTTGTTGTGGGCTTTCCTTCATCCTTTTCAGGAAAATGTGAGTGGCACACATCAATATTAACAGCAGAAAAAAACAAAAAAGGACATTGTTTTTCTTTCATTTTTAATAATATCCTTAAAGCTACTCTACGCATATCCTAACTAAGTCAATACAACTGGGCAATGAGACTATATAGTGATTGTCCATTTTGCATAGTGAAGGTACCAAAAAAAATGCTGACATATTCATATGTGAAATACATACCTGTTTTTAAAGTCAGGCTAAATTTCAATTAAAATGATAAGCTTCATTTTAAAACAAAAAGACCCATTCCCAAGTTATTGAGAAAACCTGAACAGCCTGATAAAACCACAAATATTAGGACAATCTGAACCACAATGCAACTTGTAAGAGCCAGTTAACTTAGCATTACACGCATACTTCTGGGACAGTAAAAAGTTACTTCTCTCTGTTATAATATCTGGTGCAATTTGTATCCACAGCATGGGAAAAGACAATAAAGTACAGTAATGTGTCCCAAATGATGTGCTGCCAAGTTAGTTGCAACTTACAGTGAGCTTCCCAGGGTTTTCTAAGTATAAAGAACTCAAGTGTTATGCACCAATCTATCTTTCTGGACTAGTATTATACAGCTTGGCCAAGGCCACACAGATGGCAGGGCACATAACCCTATCAGCCAGAGGTGCTTCAGGTGATCTCACCTGACCCCTTTCCCAGGAGACACAGCTCTACAGTCTGGCACTCCAAACCACACAAGCCAATGGGAGATTAGATTTTCCTTGAACATTTAACAGCAAATGCAATACTCAGGTCCTTCTAACTGATTACGTGAGATCTGCAAAAAACTATTATATACCATATCTACCCCAAAGAATTTTAATGTATTTGGGCTTAAAGAAAAAAAAAACTACCCCTTTCTTCATAAGCAAATCAGAAGAGCATATAGCATTAAAAGCAAATCCATAACAATGACAAACACCAAACAACGTGAACAACCTAATACAACCTTGTTTGAAATCATGAAACAGTGATCAAGAAGGGCAGTATGAATCCTCCACAGAAGGTGAAAAAAATAACTATTTTAGTGCATTTGACAAAAGGGGGTGTAAATCTATGGAAACATATGCCAAATAAAACTTGTTTCTAAGGTACCACTTGTCTCTTTATTGTTACTTTTAGTGTATTAATGTTTTAATGATTTACTGATTTCTCTTGCTTTGGCTGTTCTATTTTACTCCAGTACATATGTAACAATAAAATAATGAAAATGGCACTAATGTAATCCATACCAAAGGCCTCTCTAGAAAGCCATATTTGTACTAAGTGCACAGAAAAATCATGCAACATTTGGGCTAGGCATACTACCCTGTTTCCCAGAAAATAAGACCTAACCTGAAAATAGGCCCTACTATGATGCTCATAATACCCCAAAAATAAAACCGTTAAGTGAAACCTTACCCTCAACCATTGTGCAACATTTTTCAGTAACCAGAAGATGACATGACTATATTTGAATAAATGTAAATTGTTGCACATGAAAAAAAAATCCCCTGAAAATAAGCCCTAATATGTTTTTTGGACCAAAAATTAATATAAGACCCCGTCTTATTTTCGGAGAAACATGGTATCCATAAGATGGCATTCAAGAAGGATTTAGCTGTAATTAGGAAGGCCATGTTACACTTAGGGACATGGTGGCACTGCGGGTTAAACCGCAGAAGCCTCTGCGCTGCAAGGTCAGAAGACCAGCAGTCGTAAGATCGAATCCACGCAATGGAGTGAGCTCCCATCGCTTGTCCCAGCTCCTGCCAACCTAGCAGTTCGAAGGCATGTAAAAATGCAAGTAGATAAATAGGCATCACCTTGGTTAGAAGGTAATAGCGTTCTGTGTCTAGTTGCGCTGGCCACGTGACCACGGAAATTGTCTACGGACAAACACTGGCTCTATGGCTTGGAAATGGGGATGAGCACTGCCCCCTAGAGTTGGACATGACTGGACTAAATGTCAAGGGGAACCTTTACCTTATGTTACACTTGGACCCTTGTAATCTTTGGCCAATGAGGGAGTCCAACAAGTCTCAACTCCAAGAGAATTTTAGACAAGTTTTCCTCTAACTTTCCAGTGTTTTCTCCAAGCAACAAGAGATATAAGCACTGGATTGTGGCAGTTATGTGTGAAGATTTCCAAACTGCACTGGTACTCAAGAACCTATTGAACAGTTATTTTGAATTTCTCTCCTTTGGGACCAATTAGAAGGCTCCTGGGAAAGATTTTTTTCATGCAAAACGGAGACTCCAAAAATTGCCAATTGCTCTTCTTGGTGGATTTATGGATGGGGTCATACATGGAAAAACCAAGTTGAAGTCAAGCCAAACGTTCGCAAGGGGCACTACTCACCTTCTGCAAATAGATGGTGCTGTACTTCTCTAAGTACCTATCCTTGCAGCCAGCCCACCCAAGTAGTATCACCACAGGCAGGTTGACTTTTGCCCCCTTCTCAGTACTCGCACCTAAAAGATGAAAGAGTAAGATCAAAGTCTACTTCCGTCTTAACCGAACATCCCACAGTACAGTATTACAAACATTTTCTGCACGGTCGTGGGGTCTTCATACGTCTGCTGGGTTAGCGACGACATCCCTACCTTCTCTGGCTCGGTTTTTAACAATTCACTCACGGGAAACAGCTTCGTCTTAGGCCCCTTTTAGTACTCGGCTAAAGGGAACCAAGCTCATAGTCTCAACAAATAAAAAGGAGCGCATTCTTTGCCCACTTGCACAACCGGGGAACCAGACGACCCCATTCCTTTCTCTCGGCAGCCCGCGAGTTTCCTGCCAGAGACTTGCCCCGGCCGCTCACTCCCTTCACTCACCGGCACTTTGCTCCGACGGCAGCTCCACCACACAGCCCAACTCCTCGACCCTCACCCCCATTCCGGCACCTGCTCGCCCTCAGAGATGCAGCCGCTTCCGCCTCATCCTGACCGGAAATGCCCGCCCCTTTCGACCTTTGTTCCAGCAAACCCGGGAGCACCGAAGGAACGAGCGCGCGCGCGCGTGTTCCGTGACCTCACTTCGTTGGCAACCTAGAAGCTGCTTTAGCGACCTAAGGCCCTTAGCAACCGAACTGCGATCCGTCGCTTCCCCCCCCCTTCCCTCGCCCCCAAACAGCAACAAAACCGGGCTTGGCGATCTTCTCGCCCCGACCGATCGACCGAAGGGATGGCGTTCAGCGTTTTGCGGAAGTCCCGAGCGCCCCTGCCCTAAATGCGGACAATAGGCTATAGAGTTGTTTGTGAAAATCTCATGCAGGACAATGGTGTGAGGACGAAGCGTAGTGATGGCAAGAGGCAAGTGTGGAGAAAGACGCCCCAAACGGTGACCGAATCTATAGAGGCAGAAGGGACTTTGTCAGCAAAGTGGGGTTGTAAAACCTAAGGAGGATGTTGATGAGGAGAGAGCATGGTTTCTCTTTTTTTATGTGACATGGAAAGCCAAAGTTGAAAGCCTGGAAGCCTCTCTGATTGCTCCTCAATTCTAAATGTGTGGAGAAAGTGGTGGCAGAAGCAGCCGTTTATTTATGACCGGTGTGGTGTTCAACCTCCTTTTAGTAGATGAGCCCTGGCATATAGGCAGAACAGGACATGTCAGGATACTTGTTTTTCCTGTGATAGGATTGTCCCTCTTTTTCCAGTGTTCCTGTGGCTTTAACAACTGCATGATAGCGTATTTTAGACTTACCCTTAATACCTTTGTATCAAAGCTTTCGATGATAAGACACTTGTAGTGAAGTGCTGTGGAAAACACTAGGTAGCTCACAATTCTTTTAAGGCATTTTCAACCCATGTCGCCTTTTGATAAACATAAGAATCTTGTTTTCTAAGAATTAGCTGTGTTACTTAAAATAGCAAACATGGAAGCTATAATAGTACTGTATAGTGGAATGTAAGAGTGGGACTGAAATTTGGGTTCAAATTTCCACTTGGCCATGGAAATTATTATTGTTATGTGCCCTCAAGTAACTTCTGAGTTATGGTGACCCTATGAATTAGTGACTTCCAAGAAGCCCTATCATCAACAGCCTTCCTCAACTCTTGCTAACTGAATGCAGTGTTTTCCTTTATTAAACCAATTAATCTCTTATTCCGTCTTACTTTTTCCCTGTTGTCTTTCATTTTTGCCAGTGTTACTGCCTTTTCCAGTGATTCTTATTTTCTCATGAAATGCCCAGAATATGATAGCCTCAATTTAGTCATTTTTGCTTCCAGATAGTTTTGGTTGACAGGATCTAGAACCCATTTACAGTATATGTCTTTCTTACGATCCATGATACCTGCAAAATTCTCCCGGCAACTCATTTCAAATGATTCATTTCCCCCCTCTGATGGCTTTCTTAACTGTCTAGGAAATTTACTGGGGGCTAGCAATAGTAAAACTACTCCTTACATGCCTCCTTTATCTTAGAAACCCTACTAGGATGCCATAAGTCAGAATTTTCCTGACAGCAATAACATAACAATGAAACATGAAACAAAGTATTGTGGCACCTTTAAATCTTAGCAGATTAATTTTGGTATGACCTTTCATGTATTACACTCCTCGTCTTCAGACAGTTAAGGAAAAATCTTGTATACAGTATTTCCCTTAAAATCTGCCTTCCCCAATAATTGTTTTTGAAGATTAAAGTATGTTGATTAAAACAGGGAGAAGCACAAGTGGAGAGGAGTTAATATTGCCTTCACTACATTTGAGGGAATGGTGAATTTGAAGGCAGGGATGTAAAGTGGGATCACCCACAAACAATACCCAGACTACTACTGGTGTTGACATAAGGCTTGCATAACATGCTATGTATAATTATGACCAATTAATAAAGTACCAGGGCACATTTCAGTTGCTCAGTCTGGCAGTTGGCCAGACATTAATTCAAAACATACTCTAGTATCTTGCCCCAGCCCTGACAAGTTACATACTGTAAACTTTATACAAACACTAATTGGATCCTGGCCAATTAATTCCATAGTACAGCTCAAAGTACAAAGAAAAGATAGGTGCATTGTTGTATTTCATCTACTGAATAAGCTGTTTACTAAGAAAGTAGGAATACAGTAGAACCCCTGCATCTGCTCGATCAGTATCCACAGATTCATTTATCCACGGTCTGAAAATACTAGGAAAAAATCCAGAAAAACTATTTTTACATGCATTACCAGAACCGGCCACTGAAGACAGCCAGAGACGATGCTAAGAATACATGTTAGTGAAGAATATATAGCATGGTCTCTGGCACCTTCTAGCGGCCTGTTCTGGTAATGTTTTCAGTATCCCCAGGGGGCATGGAACCAATTCCCAGTAGATATGGGGCTCTTAATGTAATTTGTATTGCCATGTTCTAAATAAAGAAAATATATGATATTGAATACATATTTTTTCCAGCTACACACCTCCTTGAAGTTCTGATATGCCCCCTGAGGGGGAGATGGCCAACTGCTTAAGACAGAAACATCTACCATAAACGTAAGTACGTATTACCTTTCCAAGCACTTCAGTGTGAATGATGCTAGGTTGGGGGGGGGCAACTACGTATATGGGGAATGATTTATTTTTAATAGATTAGGATGTCTAAAGGTTGATGCTAGCATTCTAATATCAAGGGGCAAAGAGTTTGGAGAAATAATATAAAATAATTAAATACCTCAGGGAAGAAAAATTAGTAAGATATTTCAGTGCTGAAGATATATAAATGGTCAAAATTTCCTCAGATATAGAATGATGAAAACATTTTTTGTGTGCTGGTTAATATTTGGGGAGAATACTATTTAGTAGTTTTAGGCTTTCTTTTCAGAGTCAGGCTCATCTAAGATGGCATACACCATATAAACATGAACACACAGCCACTATAAATCACAATTAAATATAGATATGGGAATCAAGAGCAGTAAAATAGCAGTAATCAGGAACATTAGGAAATAACCTTCAGTATTGCATTGTGTTGTTAAATCAGTACCAGATCAGCCATATCAGCATAATGTATCTTCAAGGAGCAGTGACATGCAACAAATCCATCTTTGATGCCAATTTTGAAGTCTTACGATTACATAATCAGACATATTGATTATACTCTTAATTCTGCTCAGCTTGTGTAGAAAGTATAAAAATACCTTAAATAAACTTAAATTTCTGTCTTTTGTCTTTAGCAGCTATTGCACCTCTTAAAAGTATCCATTATTAGGTGTGGTTCATAAAAAAAAGAGATGTATGTTTTTTCTGTATGAGAAGCAGAATGAGGCTTGCCAGTTTTTCCCCCTCACAGGATTTCTGTCCTTTCAACTGCTTGAGAGGCAGAAAAATCAATTATTAAACATTTCCATAATATACTGATGTGATAAGTATAATCTGTCTGTTACGCTTTAAAGGTAAAGAAACCTGGGCACAAAAGAAGCAACCTAGGCTTGAGCACTGGGCTGAAAACAACAAAATGAAATTTAACAGGGATAAGTGCAAAGTTCTATACCTGGGAAGGGTGGGCGGGAAACAAATGCACAGTTACAAGGTGGGGGATACTTGGCTCAGTAATACTGCAAGTGAAAAGGATCTTGGAATTGTTGTAGGTCACAAGCTGAATATGAGCCAACAGTGTGATGCGGCTGCAAAAAAGGCAAATGCTAGTTTGGGGTGCATTAACAGAAGTATAGCCTCCAACTCCCATGAGGTACTTAGTCCCCCTCTATTCAGCACTGGTTAGGCCTCATTTAGAGTACTGTGTTCAGTTCTGGATACCACACTTTAAGGATGCCAACAAACGAGCTATTGCAGAGCAACTTGGATGAACAGGAGACTGAAAACAAAGCCCTATGAGGAAAGACTGAAAGAACTGGGTATGTTTAGCCTTGAGAAAAGAAAACGTGAGGGGAGCAATGATAGGACTTTTCAAATACTTGAAAGGTAGTCATACAGAAGGGGAGCAGGATCTGTTCTCAATCATCGCAAAATGCAGGACACGTAATAACGAGCTCAAGCTACATGAAGCTGGATTTAGGTTAAATATCAGGAAAAATGTCTTAACTGTTAGAGCAGTACAACAATGGAACCAATTACCTCAGGAGATGGTGAGCATTCCAACACCAGAGGCATTCAAAAGAATACTGGAAACCTTCTGTCAGATATACTTTGATTTGAATCCCAGCCTTGAATAGGGGGTTGGACTCGATGGCTTTATAGGCCCCTTCCAACTCAATTATTCTACGATTCTAATTAATGGTGTTTTTTTCAGAGTGCCTCTGCTCATCTTGGAAAGTATGTCTATTTTATTTCTAAAGCAAGTTTCCTTAGACTTCATTTGTAGCCCTTTTAAAAGTAGCATGTTCCTTATCAAATTACATATTTTTATGCAAGGTACTGTTTCTATAATGTTATCAGAAGGACCCAACAAAATTGCTAAGAGCAGTTCCTAAATCATCAAAGTTTGTTCTCTTTTGTTTCTTCCAAGCATTATATCACAAAAAGTGTACATTTTGAAAAAAAAAGTTTTTTTTCCTGTATTCTGTCCTATGGCTCTCTTTCTGCTTTGTAAGTTATGTGACCGTTTTCTAGGTGCTGAATTTAACCCATGAGCATTAAACCAGAATTAATTATATATTTTCTTAGACTGCTACCTCTACAAGTGTAAACATAATACCTAGCAGAGGACAACACTGTGTGTTTGGACTATATATGGATCCTACTGTTAATTTAACATTGCTAATAGATCCCTTTACAAAGAGGAACCTGCCATTAAGGTCTTTAAACTCTCCTTCACACTGGAAATTTATCCCTGGGGAGAAGGTGATCAGTACTCCATGTGATTTAGAAGAACCTGCACCGGAATGACATGAACTTAATCTAGTTTGTGCTATAAGGAGGGATGGATCCCCTTTGTGACCAGTTTCTGGCATCATTAATATGTCAGTGTTGTTTTTATTATACTCTGGATTAACCTTCATTTAATTGGGGATCACATTCTATTAACATTGGAAGATGTCAGTTTCAGATAAACTTACTAATTTAAAATAGGACATTTCCTTGAGTTGACCGGAGAATGGCTGTAATTTGGACACCATAGAAAACCAATCATAAGTCCAGACAGTGATGAAGGCAAAGATGAAACAGCTCTTTTAAGTAGAGAGTTCCAACCTGTAATGTAAAGCAGGGGTCCCCAACCTTCGGTCTGCAGCCTGGTGCCAGTCCGTGGCCTTGGCCAGACCGGGCCGCAGAGACAGATCTCTCGCCCCACACACACTCCCCCACACACAGCCCCTTCTCGCATGTGCACAAGCATCCCTGCCCCTTCACACGTGTGTGTGTGCACGTGCCACACAAGTGCCCCCGCCCCTTCCCGTAGTGTCAAAAAGGTTGGGGACCATTGATCTAAAGGACAACAGTAATGAGAGAGTGAGACTTGGGGGAATGTAGATGGAACAACAGTAACATTCTTTTAATATATTTTCTGCAATACTAATATACCTTGTTAGACCATTATCTGCAAAATACACAAAGCAGAACTGAGTCAGAAGAATTCTAATTAGATAAACATTTTCACAGAATTAACAGCCACTTATCTATCTTATTGCTGTATGGGTTAGACACAATTGTGTCTGGTTTGCCTTTTACCTTGTTACTCCATAGGAGATAGAATCAATTAGCCAAAAGATTCCTTTTCTAGCAAGGCTGGGATTTTTCTCCAGGAGGGATTATATGCAAAAAGTAAGTAATTCTGTGCATCAGTGGGTAAATTGAGAATGGGTATTTTTCCATTATGATTAATAATCAGTTTTGTTGGATGCCCCCAACTGTGTATTATTTATTTTTTCACACAAGAGGCTTGTCAATGACTGGTATAACTCTAATGAAGGTTCTTTTATTCCTGTGGATTCCTGACTCTCATCTTAAACAGTTAGTTACTGTTAGATGTTTTAGTCATTCACCTTTCTTTGTTTAATTATAAAGTTTTTGATATTGAATCTCAGAAGATCAGGCAAAAGTGTTTGTTGCATAATTACATTGCAAACTACCAAAGAGTGCTATTGCACTATGGGACAATACATAAGTTGAAACAACAGTAAAAGCACCATTTCATCTGTGTCATCACAATAACCTACACACACCTGAGGAGAGCATTGTTCATATAAAACAAAAAATTTAACATGGGTTACTTAAGTGAAAAACTGTTTCTCCCAAAAATATCAACTACAAGTTTCACAAGTAAAACTCAGTTTAAAAAAAAATAGGTGAATGAGATTTCATGTTTCACATCTTTCCTGTAAAAGGCTGATATAGTTTCTCCTTTCTTAGCGCTAACATTTGGTAAGGTTAATAACACATTCACTCACAACTGTCTGGGGAAACCTGATTTATTTTGAATCTTGTTTCCTATACTGAAAATACTCTGCCAAGGACAAAAGCTCCTACAGACTACAGGTTGTTAATTTCCTGATGGATTCCTATGTATTTCTCAGCACGGCTGCTTTATATAATTTTGAAAGGGCTGTTAGAAATAGAAAATAAGAGATACATAGCTGTACCATAGATTTAATGTTACATCAGTCATCACAATTCTGCAAACGTTATCTGTACAGATTTGTGTGAATCAAATCTTTTGTGTCATATCTGTAGAACACACATATGTAGGTTCAATGGTTCTTACTGAATGTTCATAAATTTTCAAGCAAAAAAAGGAAAAATGGAGAATGAGAAAACCGAGTTTGTATATCCCCAGAACAAGGACAGAGAATACGTGATCCTCTAGACCCGTTGTCCCCAACCACTGATCCGCGGCCCAGTACCGGGCCATGGCCTTGGCAGGATCAGGCCTCAGAGACAGATCTCCCACACCCTCCACACACTCACCTCAAAATGGCCCACCTGCCTGCACAGGTGCCCCGCCCACCTGCGCATGCGTGCAGGGGTGCCCCGCCCACTCACAAGCACTCCCCACCCACCTGTGCACTGTTGCCCCCCCAGCCAGTCCACAGTTTTGAAAAGGTTGGGGACCACTGCTCTAGACGTTTTTGGACTACAGTTCTCAATAGCCTTAGCCAGCATAGGCAATGGTAAGAGATTATAGAAGTTCCAATAACATCTGGGCAGTCACTTGGCCTCCCCCAGGCTAGGAAAAAAGGCGACCAGTGAAGTGTTGACATCACTGCCAAAATGGCTACATAGAACTTTTCTTCTCTTAAAAGATCAGCAGAATCTTATTTCACTTGGAGGGGCCATCTACTACTTTATATAAAATTCGAAGACCAAGGAATCAGAACATTAGCCGGCAAACCTACAAGGCCTTCAAGGCAGCTTGTTCTGAACTATCATTATTGGATGTCAAGTACAACAGTAAGATGATTGCCTTCACTTCATTAAGAGGCTCAGCCTGAAATGGCTGATAAGTTTGAAGATAAATTTGAAGTCTTTGCTCTCTGGACAGATGTCAGATTTGATGTAACATGCTAAATTCAACTAAGGAACAATCAGAATAATTGATATAATAGAATAACAAAGCCAGTAAATAGCAAGCATAGCATTTAACATAGTCTTATATCTAGAAAAAATATGAACTCTGATGCACACTTTCCATATTTAGCACTGTACACACAAGTAGAGAACTGAATGTGCATGAAAGGAGGAGACTCTGAAGGTTTTATATAGCAAGGGTCCCCAACCCCCAGTCTGTAGCCTCGTGCCGGTCCGTGGCCTGGGCCGGACCAGGCCGCAGAGACAGATCTCCCACCTAGTCTGTAGCCTCGTGCCGGTCAGTGGCCTGGGCCGGACCAGACCGCAGAGACAGATCTCCCACCCCGCACGCACTCCCCTTGCACAGCCCCTTTTGCATACGCCTGTGCCCCTAGCCCTTCATGCCTTGCACAGCCCCTTGTGCATACGCCTGTGCCCCTAGCCCTTCATGCATGTGTGTGAGTGCCCCCCCAAGTGCCCCCCGCCTTCGTGCATGTGCATGAGTGCAGGGAGATGCCCTGCCTTCCCCAACCGGTCCACAGTGTTAAAAAGGTTGGGGACCACTGTTGTATAGAAAAATTTGTGGCCCTGTTTTGAGGCCCTTTGAACAAAAGGGGAACATTGTTTCCCTTTTCCTAGTCTTTCATAGTTTTCTTTCTAGGTCAAGAAACTCCATTGGTAAGCATAAAAGAATTCCTTCAAGTTTTAAATTGCAACAGTTTAGGATATTATTATTTCAGAATGTGTCTGCTATAACTCTGTCAGAGAGCTGCTTAGTATTCCCTCACAAAAAAGGCTTAGGGAAGCTGACAAAATACTGCTGATGCTTTTCTTTTAGCTCATAACAAAAAATGCAGTAGCTTTTCTCTAATTAAAGGAGGCAGCTTCTTAAATTATAAAGCATGACTAACATACAATTTAATAAAATGGTAATAAAAACAAAACTTTACAAATTCTGCTCAAATGTGTTGAAGGCTGGAGATATGTAGAATGTATTGCAAACCTGTTACTTCTCAAATATTTAATACAGATAGCTGGCATTCCTCCTCAGGAAATGGTTGGTCACCTGAGCATAGCAAAGAGTGCATTGTCACAAAGGCTAATTAAATGCTTCTGGCAAAGGCAAAAATTATGTTTGCCTTTTTCCCAGTACTCTGACACCCAGCAGACCACCATCTTAGGTCCCAAGAGTATTAGGTTATATGTTCAGATGCTGCATGAAGTTTTCAACTGTCTTTTGTGTAACTAGTTGTTAATAACTTTATTTCCTTCACTGACATTCAACATTTCATATGCCTTGATTTGTACCTATAGCTGGATTTTGTAGAGGGAGAACATGATACAAATCTTTACCTCCTTAGCCCTTTCCTATACAGTTCTTTTTTGAGCATATCTTATAATGCTCTATTTGTACTCTTCAAATTTAATCTTGTTCCCCTTCTGTTTGAGGAAACCTTTAGGTTCTTCTCTCACACACTAGATTTTGCTTTGGAAAAATTTTCTTTTTATCTCTGGAACCTTAGGTTCAATTGTTCATTATATACTTTTATTTTCTGAAAACCAGTGTAGCTACTCTCATGATATTCTCAGTCATCTATGCATAAACTCTCCCCACATTTTATGTAAAACATATCTCAATCCTAATGTGAAAGAATTGTCCCCATCAATCAAATATAATATAAACATGCAATTCAGTATCTAAGTAAGGAACAACGTGAAGTGTTAGTGTTTAAGAAGTATAATTGCTTAACCATACCCATAAATTGCTGAGTTCTTCCTGGTTGAGATTAGTTTATGGAGTAAATCCGTGGTGAAAATTATTATTCTAGCTTCTAATCCAAGTTTTCAGAGTGTTTTTATCAACTACCTTTCATTTAAGAGAGTCTTAAAGAAAGTTGTTGATTTTTGGAAGATCAATACTGTACATACATGATTGTTTTACCATTTCCAGAATCTGCATGCACAGCCTGGGAAGTTATTTTTAAAAAGTAGTTAGTTATATTTCTGATGTTTTTTCCTTCAGATGGCTCAGAATTAATTAAAAGAGTTACTTTAGTTTGGGAACAAAACATCTGAACACTATGATCTGTCAAAACATACTCTTTTCCCATCCATCTTCATATTGGTTTAACACCCTAGAGCAGAAAGCACTGGATGAGCCAGCACTTGAATCATGTGATGTTTCTGCCCATAATTTAGTGAAGCTAACACACTTAATTATAAAAGTTACTATGTTAGTTTCACCACAAATGGAATGAAGATAGCTTCATAAAATGTAACCATAAATTTTAGTGAATTGACACTAGTTTAAGAAATCAAAGTCTGTATTGTTGTCTTATACCAAGTCATGTGAAATACATGTTGCCAACTTCTCAACTAGAAACAGTTCACCACTGAGATTTACACTGATGAACTTATGCCAGTAACATACAGTAAGTAGGATTCTGGGTGGTGTGTTTATTAATCTATATTTATTATGTTGAAACATTGAGTTCCTAAAGCTTCTCTTTTGATTCTCTCTTAGTATTTCCTCTGAATCCCTATGCTCATCTGGGATGGCCTCTTTTCTTTTTAACCAATGTTGCAATACTCTTTTGTGATGCCTTTGAGAAATAACATCAGTGTTAGAGACATAGTAAAAATTGCCAAACCCCTGATGAAACAGAATTTTACTTAACCAATCCAACCTGCTTTTCTGCCAGACATTTCTTACCTAGAGAAAAAAGAGGAATTGTTTCTGGCGTTAGTTCAATTACAGCAACTTGCATGCAATTGGTGTCAGCTTTCTCTTACAGTTTTTGATGCAAACTGTATTACCCTGAAGACACTCATTAACTCTAAGGACTTTTGAAACATTCATTATTTTCTCTTTCAGCAATAGAAGAACATTAGAAACCATGACTTCCATAAAGGAGCAGGCAGCTATCAGCAGATTAATAAGCTTCCTACAAGAATGGGACAGCGCTGGCAAAGTTGCTCGATGCCGCATTCTAGAAAATTTCATCCTAACAAACCAAGGCAAGACCGGTCCAGAATTGGAAATGGAATTTTCTCAGGGTGCCAGTTTGTTTCTGGCCCGCATAACAGCATGGCTGAGGCTGACGTATCCAGATTCTTGGAGAGTTGGTGCTCATGTGGATGAAGGGCACGCTAGAAAAGAGGCAGTATTTTCTCATAGAAATTACCAGGATTGGGTATATATTTCTGTGTTGAGCAGAGTTTGAAAATATAATATCCGAAAGCAACTTTACATTAGTTATAAGCAGAATTTTCCAATCAGGGTTGTCTTCCAAAATCTTCCAACTTCTAACATAGACATGCATTTCACAAATCCTAGTTCAGGTACAACGTTCTTTTAATTGGTAGAAAACATGAGTTCCTGAAAAGGGCAGATATAAGCTGCAGATGTTCAAATTCAGTTGAAGTACAAGGTTCACAATGCCTTTAAATAAAAGTCTTAACAAATTGACTATAGATATATGTATGGAACATGCCTAGAGCAACAATTGAAGTCAATTGGCATCTTCTTCTCAGCTGCAAGTGGGTAAGTAAAATGTGTTTCATTTCCAGGAGAGCTGGCTGGGACCTTGAGATTTTCAGCATGCCAGATTGTTAAAAGAGGAAATAAGGACCTGGTCTTCGGCATAATCCAATTATGTTATCAAAGAAAATGACAAGAATAGGAAGCTCTGCTGTCTGACATATATGCCAATTTTTTCTAATTAACTGACATCTTCCAACTCCCTTGCATGGAAAAAAAATTATATACAGATGCCTATGGACCCACAGATGAGTGTCTTAATCACTCTTCAGCAGTAGGAAGTATATACTCCCACAGTGCTTAAAGAGCTAGCTGAAACTAGAGAAATATTGTGCAACTTTATGATGCAGTTGTTTTATCCATATTGGAGTTATGCAATATTCAGACTGGCATAGCTTCAAGGGGTATTATTCTAGAGATAGTCAGAGAGTATTCCAAGGAGAACCGAACCTACTGCCTCTCCTTGATTACACAGGTAACCAAAGAAAAATCCATACAGACTGACTAAATATGAATTATTCACAGTATGGTACTTCAAGAATACCGTATTTTTCGCACCATAAGACGCACTTTTCCCCCACAAAACAGGGGGGGTGGAAAGTCTGTGCGTCTTATGGAGCGAAGAAAATAGATTATATTTTCCTATTTTCTTCTCCTAAAAAATTGGTGCGTCTTATGGAAAGGTGCGTCTTATGGAGCGAAAAATACGGGTATATAATTACTGTGAATAATTCCTGCATAGGCTTTTATTTTGTTACCTGGGCAAGCACTGTGTTTCTCTTGCTTTGGGTGGATATTATCTCCTTGATTAAATGGCAAGTTAAATTTGGGAACATATACTCCCTATTTCTGATGTAGTAAATACCAACCAATGCCTTCTCCTTATATAATAAGACTGAAAATATTTTAATTCAGTAACTTGTATTCCTGCACTGAATGGAAAACTGGGAACTTAGAGGACTATGAAAAGGAAGGTTGTTTCTCTTGACAACTTCAATGGTTTGGTAAATGGATCCCAAAATGGATTTTAGAAAGACACTGAAGCAGTGGAGTTGCAGATTGCAGATATAGTTAACATCTGTTAAAGAATAATCTACCATCATTATGTAGGGGTGAGGGGTACAGATGGTTCCCAAATAACCTAACATTTTTGCTTTGTTCTCTAAACATTTGCAGCCAACGGTACATTATTGAATTCTTGGAAATTGGTGGTATTCTTACACTGCTGGAAATACTTGGTCTCAAGCAAGTGAAAGAGGAGGACAAAAAGGAATCTATAAAGCTTCTTCAGTTAGTTGCTAGCTCTGGCAGAAAATTCAAAGAGCTTATTTGTGAAAGTTATGGTAGGTAAATTATGACAAATCAGATATACGAAGGGGTGCTGATAAGTATTGAGCCCCTCCCAGAAAAAAATGAGCTAGGAAGCTGTAACTGCCACACTATTCCCCCAGGAAGTCAATGCACTTTCGACATCTCTCCTGCAGCTTCTTAAGTCCCTGCAAATAAAATTCTTCCAACTGCTAGTGTAACCCCTCATTTGCAGCATTAGTTGCTTCCAGAACACTCCCAAATCGTTGTCCCTTTAGGTGTTTTTTGAGTTTGGGGAACAGGTAATAATCATAAGGAGCCAGGTCGGGAGAATAGGGTAGATGGAGCATCTCTTTAAAGCCTAAGGAGGTCAGTTTTGTCATTGTTTCACCTGCAGTGTGTGACGAGGCATTGTCACACAACAGGATGACACCTTTGGAGAGCTTTCCTCCATGTTTTTCCTTGATGTTTTGCATTGATGGTTGAACCCTGTTGGAGGTAGTCTGCCAGCAGAACTCCCTTCTTAGCCCAAAAAACTGTTGCCCTTTGCTCCCGCACCAACCTTTACACTCGGAATTTCTTTGGCCTGGGGAAACCACAGTAACTCCATTCCTAGACTGTTTCTTTTTCTCAAGATCATAACAGTAGATCCATGTCTTATCACCAGTTACCACTTTGCCCAGGAAAACTGACATATTTCTTGCAAAATGTTCCAAAACAGCCACTGATGACTCCA